GAATCAAGATTTCAGTGGTAATCACAATAACAAAGGAAAAAAATGGCTGCACTTAAAATATTATTTTTACTTTTATTAATGGATTATATTTTCTGACATATCTGACAAAAACTCTGTAGAAAAGTAGCCTGAAGTATTGTTATGACCACTAGAGGGAACTAATGGACCAAGACAGGTGGAGCAATGAGAGAATAGCTGAAAGAGTCTCTTGATTGAAGGTGGTTGCCACTGTAGAGGGACAGGACATTGGGCTACCCCTCCTAACTTCTCCTTTTTCATATCATGTCTCCTGAGAAATGTCTTTACTTCTTTCCTGTTTCTAATAGTAAATCAAAGGATTATAAAACATCTCCTTGGATTTTGAAAATGCCACAAACTTTCAAAATTGTTTTACATTATCAGTCATTCTTTATTATAGGAATATAGAAAGAGCAGCATTACTTTCAATTTAATGTAATGGAGAGGAGAGAACTATTTCAAGAGAGAGAGAAAAAATAATAACTAGATATTCCTTCCCATCTCACCTTCCTTCCCTCCCTCCCACAGCTGGTCCTCCCCATCACTCAAAAATCTATTGTGTGTGGGTGGGGGGGGCTGGGGTTGTGGTTCAGTGTTAGAGCACTCGCCTTGCACCTGTGAAGCACTGGGTTTGATCTTCAGTAACATATAAAAATAAATAAATAAAATAAAGGTATTGAGTCCATCTACAACTAAAAATTATTAAAAAAATCTATTATGGAAGGACTAACACCAGTTTACTAAGGCCAGTTTCCTCAGGATAATGAAGCTAGGAAGATATGGTTGCATGGGATGTTTCAATTTTTAGTTTATGTGAAACTATGTTGTTAGAGTATTTTATAATATAATAATACTATCATATGATACAACATAATACAAATACTTATTTTCACTAGTCACATAATATTTGAATATTTTTTTAAATATTCTGTGTTTACTTACTCAGAAAAGGAACAAAATGCCTGCTGCATAGTGTATTGGTGAGGATTAAGTCAGATAATGCATATAAAACCTTCATTAGTAACTGACATGCAAGTGTTGAAACAAATTAAGGGGTAACATTTCAAAGGCTCTCACTTTGTTCTGGGCACTGATAAGTGCATTGATACAGTAAATCATTGGATTCTAATTTCAACACTAGAAGTCTAATAGTATTATCCGAATTTATTACTGGAGACTAGATTCCAAATTTAATTAAATTGTCCAGTATCATATATTTGTACCAAAGACTGAACTCAAACTGTGGTTTTTCTAATTGCATTTACCACATTTCTAAACATGACACCAATCTGCTAGATTTTGGAATTATTTATTATCACATGATTTTTATGGGGTTGTTGAAACAGAGAGACAGGTGCTATTCCCACAGAGTCTCACATTTAATTATGCTAAGCAATTGGAAGAGACTTGCAGGGTATCATAGGGACCACAAGGGGCAGCAGAGTTATATTTTCACTTTATTTCTGCCTCTGACAACCCCCACTTCCACTAAAAGGAAGCCTAAGCTTTTATACAGTATGCTAAGCTCTAGCTTCTTTGTTTTTATCTCTGAATGAATGGATAGATAGATAAACAGTTGTTTTCATAGTTACCTCCCTACCCTTTTTAAAATACTCCTGTTGCAGATTTGAAGTACCTTGTCTTAATTTAATCTATCAATTTCTAAGTTAGATTCTGATACTAAAAGCATTCAAAAGATTTGAAAACCAAATTCTAACTGTAACTTATGCTTCATAGATAGCCAGACAAAAAAGGTGACAGTTTTCTGTTGAAAGAGTGAAAACTAATGCCTCTCTTTTTCCTGCAGCTGGCTTTCCAGCTCCTTAGTCCTTCAAGTCCCTTTCCTAATGCAACAGACCTTGGAAGCAGATAGGAGACTTGAACTTGGTCAACAAAGGAGAGAAGTGTGTCAGTCCCCAAAGGCAAAGAAAAAACTTCTTAACTCTTCTCTAACTGGGAAGGCAAGCTCCTCTGACAACCTGAGGAAACAAGAATGAGGACTCGACTGGCACTTTATAGACAGCACTGCCATTCTGGAGGTGATGCTTACCTCCAGGCAGAGCAGTTCTGAGACCACGAGATGTTTGCGGAGACTTCCTCCTGAGAGTAGCTAGACAACACCCTTTGGCCTCTCATTCCTCTCTCTACAGTTGGGAAGGTCCAAGCTTCTGACTTTTGACAAAGACAGTATCTCTTCCCTTTTTGGTTATAGAATATGTACATTGATCTCAATGTCAGTCACAATTTTGGAATGTTAACAAAGTGTCAGCTACTGTCGGGCATCCTTCAAATAGTGTCAAGAATTAGTCATCAAAATTTTGCAAAAAAAATTAATCAATAAAAATAGTAAATAAAATTTTGCAAAACATTTCCTTGACTGTTTTTCATGGGTCAAATCCTTTTTGTGACTAGTTCCTTTATATACATTATCTCATTGTTCTTTGCCACCCTGAGATACTTAATATTTATAATATTGATAGAAAGCTGAGGATCAAAGATGGTAAGTTTTGTTTTCTGGACTTGGGATGGCTTTCTTTTTAAAACAGAACAAAGTTGTGAAATTAAATCTGTTGTCAATTAATGAAAAAAAGTACACACTTTCTTTCTGAGTCATTGAGACAGGAAGAACAGACAAACTATGAAGAATGAAGTTTTCAAAATTCCTTGACAATTATGTAGAAACTGACATGAGGACCTCAGAGTAGGGGTATTGTCTAATACAGGTGTTTGGGGAAGATAACGGTTTGAATGAGATGGCATGCAGTGCAATGACGTTGCCATCACTCTTATATAAGAGGTGATACCAAGCATCTATAGACCACCCAGTGTTATTAATTTCTTTAGAGGCAGGGATAGCCATGTCCTGAGTTTATAGATCTTGACCCCTTTGCCTTCTCCTATTCAGGACCCAGGTCAGAGTGAGATGACTTGCCCCACCCTTGTGCTAAGATGACTCACTCTAAGGTACAGCAGTGGGAGGAGAACCTGTCAGGGCTCTGATAGCATTATCTACTGGGCCAGGACCCAGGAGGGGCAGGCTGTAAAATTTTCCCTCCCAGTTCTGAACAGGGTTTGCTCATTTATATATTTAAATTATATATTTATTTTAAAATAAACAAATAGGCACCTACAGTCCTGTTTGTGACAGAAACTACCTTAAATATTTCAGATTCCATCTGTTCCTTCTCTCATAGTGAGTACAGTCAGAGGCAAAGGTTCCAATGCAAGCAGAGAAGATGGCAATTCAGGAACCTTGAGTCCTCGCCCAGACATTTTCATGACAAAATGAATCATTTTGTGGACTGTGTTTCTAAACCTTGGTTTCCTCCTCTGTAAATAACATACTGGAGTAAATTATTCCCTGTGGTTTATCTTTTAACACAGAAATTCTATCACTTAAATTTATAATAGGAAGGACCTAGACCAGGGAAGTCATTGAACCTGAGCCCCCTCAACTTGTAAGTTACTCCCTGGTTTTCTCATTAAGGACATCTTCTTTAGCTAGGCCCACTGGGCACCAGATATGTGGGTTCTGTTTCACAGGTAGAAAAAAGAGGATGCTACTCTCCTTTCTATTCTGGTACACCTTAGGGGAAGAACTTGACACTCTTTCCACATACCCATCTCCAATAACTTATTTCAGGGATTCAGACCCTTTACCTTAAAGAAGTCTTAGCAGAATCAAACAGAGGATAAGAACACAAAACTCTGGAGCCAGACTGCCTGAGTAGCTGGCAACTCAGCACCTCTTACTGGCTGTGTAATTTGTTCCTTCATTTGTAAAGTGGGTTTTTAACATGCTTGTAAAAAATGCCATGCATATTGACAAAGTTAATTATTTGAAGAGTTTAAAGCAATTCCTTATGTATACCAAATATTCAAATGTTGCTGTTATATTTTATGCTTAACTTCAGCCATTGTTAATACAGCTGACAACTATTTTATTCTGCATTTTATGCCAATTTGTTAAATATTAATTAAAAATTAACTAACATTTATTGAAGGCTTACTATGTTTATTGTAGGATTAATATGTTATATATTTTAACACATGTTTTGCATAAATTATCTCATTTAATACATTTGAAAGTGTAGAAGTGCATAATATTAGCATCCCTCCTTTATCACAGTGTGGAAAATGTTTTTAACTTTCCACACCATGTACAAAACACTTACATACATATACACACCTACGCTAGCAAGTATTAAAGTTTTAATTTAACCTGAAGTATTTTCCAATAAGTATTTACAACTACTTTGTGACACTCTATGTAGGATTTTGGGATTTCAGTTTAAGCTACAGCTCCTGCCTTCAAGATGCTACTAGTATGTTATACGTGGAGCACTCTCTAACCCTCTGTACTCCCCTCTCCTCAATTACTGCAAAGTTACACTGCATTCCTTTATAGCTGGCTCTGGAATGGCAGTCTGCTTTTCCCTGCTTGACCATAATGTCCCTGAAATCAGGAAAGACTACACTAAGGAGAGAAGGGGTGGCAGTTATGATCACTGAGTTTAGTTAAATAGTTGACTTTGTGAATTCAAGGGCTATATCTCCAATTGTTCATTGTTATGTTTACTGAATTTGTTAAAAATGCACATATTTTGTGTTATTCATACATACGAATGCTCCAATATAAAAAGAGTAACTTCTGAAATAGGGAATTGAGATATATTATGCGACTTGGGATTAAAGGATGTTCATTTATGTAAGAACTTTGTAATTATGGAGCTGTCTAGCCAAAATAAGGGCTCAGTGGAAGAGCTTTTCCCCATGATAGACAGTACCTTACCCATAGTTGCATGAATTCCCAGGGGAGATCCTAAGCAGAAGGCTGATCTTCTAACTTAGAGAAGCCTTATGCCCTTACATTTTATCCTCTTCTGCCATCATGCACATAGCAAGGGACACAGGACTGGGCAAGAAGAAGGCTCTTCCTGTACTTCATGATCAGTGAAGTGAATATGTGGAGGCAAATGGAAAAGCACAACAACAACAACAACAATCTCTGAAGCTCTGAATGAAGTGGGAACAGGAACTACAATGCTCCCTCTCTGATTAGGAGCCCAGGAGCCCAGCAGGTGGAAATTAGGTTTTTTTGTTTTTTAAAGTTTGACCTAAACTCAAAACCCCATAAAATATGAAGAAGAAAACCAAAACCTACACAGAGAAGAGTTGTTTTTATTTTCTTCCTATAGCAGGTTTACTTTCTACCCCAAACAGCCAGAGACCCTCTCTTCAGTCTGTCCTAGTAAATCTTTTCACATCCATCCAGCATTGTTTCTCCACAGCCAGGGCCTTCTTAGTTGGACATACCCAAGAGCATTCAGAATTCTACTTTCAGCTTCTGGAAGGCCCTGAGTCCATTTGTCTGGGAGTCCTCCTTTAGCTGCTACCTCGACCTTAATATTCCTTCCTTCCTGAACACTGCTGAGATGATCCATGTGGTGAGTATGGCTTTTTCAAGAAATTCCTCACTTGTTAATGGCTTACCCCCAAACCCGATCTTAATATCTGGCATCACTATAAGAAGAGTGCAGTAGGAAAAATCACTGTAGGTAAGAGAGAATTATGGGAAATGAGAATATGGAGCATAAGTAAGAAAGTTGGGGGAGAAGAGAAAGAAGACATGAATTGGTCAACATATTTTATATACAACCAGAGATATGAAAAATTGTGCTGTATATGTGTAATATGAATTGTAATGCATTCTGCTGTCATTTATTTTTTAAAAAATAAATAATAAAAAATATTATAAAATGTACAATTGACAATTATTTATTGAGACCTTTTATATTCTAGGGTCTAATAAGTTTATTATTATTGTCTTTCGTTCTCATAGTAATTGCAAAAAGAGATATCATTATTCTTCCTACTTTTGGATAAGAAGATGGAACTTAGAAGAGTAACAAACAGCATTTGCCTAAGTTGAATATGTCAGAGGCAGAGCTTGATCCTGTCAGACTCAAGCTATTGTCCTAGTGCCATTTGATGCACTGATGAGGAGGATTAGTGAATGGGATGGGGAAGCGCAAGAGTCAGGCTATAGAGGAAGGCGGCAGCAATGCAAAAGTCTGCAACTAACTTTGAGAACAGGGGTCTCTATGGGCTTGAACTTCAGGGAACTTTGACTCAGCAAACTGAGGGCCCCTGTGAGGATGGAGGGAACTGGTACATAAGATGAGTCTATCAGAGGTCCCAGGGAGGGCAGGGCCAAGGCTAGCAGCTAGCTATCAAAGGCCCAGAAAGACTACAGGCCTGACAGCTCAGATAGGTGACCAGGTCAGGTTGTCAGCTCTGGGTGGAGACCATGACTCTTAGGGGAGATAGACCAGGAGTGGGAGAGCGGACAAGGGAAAGGGTGGGGAAGTACAGCATAGCAGCATTTTCCAGTCTGTAACCACCTAAAATTTTACAGTCCCTCATGTAGGGGCAAAATTTTTTGACTTCTATGAATTTAAGCTTATAAGCTGTAAAATAGGAGTAAAAATTATATTAATCTTATGATGGAGTTTTTATGAAATTTAAAGGAAATGCACACTCTCTGAACAAAAAGCCTAGCAATTTAGGATAGAGGTTAGGCCCCCTAACAAGCAGATATCTCAAAGCAGCAGGCAATTTCTAGAAAATAGCAGCAAGAACTTTAAGAGTTATAATGACAACCTCAGAGCTTAGTGTTTTAAAATTAACAATGGACTGGGATATAGTGCAATAGGAGCTCCACTCTGGGCCTCAGTAGGAACATATAACCAGGTGCTTAACATTAATGACTGAAGCATCTCAGGCCACATGACAAGAGGAAGACAACTGGCAGCAACTTTGCAGTCTAAGAACATATCACTGCACAGAGTGGGCATAACTTCAAGACTCCAAAGCACAAAAGTCTCGGGGACCTTTGCAGGAGTTGAGAGAGAACCAGGATGATAAAGGGCCAAAGTACACATGAGGGAACAATGAAGAAACAAACATGGTGATTCAGATTATAGAATCCTGAAAGGATTAATATGGATTAGCCTGGATTAACATGTAACTGACATCTTTCCTTATGTCAGGTGCCATCCTATGATATTTAAATAATCTCAAATTAATCAAATAATTCTGTGAGGCATATATTAGTGACCATATTTTAACTAATGCTAAGTAGCATCTCTTAAACACTTAGTAGATGCCAGAATATAATTTAAGTCTTTTTTATGACTTAAACTAGTTTATGTTATTACCAACACTCAGATATGGATTGTTATTTTTCACTGATGAGGAACACAAGATACAAATAGGTTAAGTAAATTTATTAAAGACACATAGCTGTTAAGCAGCTAATATGTGATTAGGACCCAGGTGGACTGGTCTCTCCTGCTTCTTTTTAAGTGTGGGAAATTGAAGGTCGAAGAGATGAAGTAGTCTTTCCAAGATACAGAGCTCCCAAGTAAGTATCAAGGCTAAGACAGATCCAGTATTGCACCTGCCCAGAACTGTGGACTTTCCACAACAAAACACCAACAGAAACACCTACTGTGGGCCCAAGAGGGTAGAAACAGGAACCCAGAGCCCCCGCTCCATGTTTCTTACTTTTATCCATTGGAAATCAGAGGTTAAAAGTTCAAGTCAAAAATGTAGATCATCATTCTTTGACCATGGTTGCATCCCCTGGGAAAGTTTAAGAGGAAAATAATTAAATAAAAATTTGAAAACAAGTTCAGAATACAATATGACTGTCTTGAATTACAGAAATTTTCAAGGAAGTTATAAGTACTTTCATGAGAAAACTGGTAGCCCACACCTGTCCAAATTGTCCCTTAAGCACTTGGGTAAAGTTTCAAATTTTGTTAAGGATGAGAGTGTTCATACATTAATTACATCCTTCAAATACTCCTCAGGTTGAACCACGGCTCTGTCTTCACCCTGCAACAATTTGAAACCTCATTGTCCCCAAAGCTCAGAGATATATCTCTTTGTCTGTGTGTCATTCTATCTAGTGCCAAGTACTGAGAAGCCTATACCAGGCTAGGCACAGTGCTGGGGTGTTGTGATAATAATACTCAAAATAAGAAAAACACTGCAAGTTCCCTGAGTATCCTTTTGGATTCTGACATAGAATAGCACCAAATTTTACCAGTGAAAGTCCTTGCTCCATGTGCTAACTACTCCAAAATCACTTGGGGCTTCACATAGTCTTTTTCATCTGCAAACAGAATGTAAAAACTCAACATAAATCCTTTAGCAGTCCTATATCATCAGTGTTAGGCTGGATCTTAGTCTCTCTCTCTCTTTCAATGATAGGCTTCCACTGTTTTTCCTTCTAAGCCAAAAGCATACATGTCTAACATTGCCTAGGGAAATGCTTACTTTTCAGAAGCAAACTCTACTACAACAGGGACAGAGAGTAAAGAAAATGAATTGGAGAGTCAGAGATAGAAGTGAAACATGAGGGCCTACTATTAAGTATCTCTCATGAAATTTTGTGAAATCTAAATAGTGTTTTAAAACACACTGAATCTGCAGTTATCTTTTAAAGTCAAGAAATATCTAAGAGTAACTGTATTTCCAATCCTCCTTTGAAAGTAAAATGTGATCTTAAGAGTTATATGTATAGACTTACTATAATAACAGATAACACTTAGCACGTGTGGTGTTCCTAGCTCTGTGTACAACAAACTTATTGAATCCTTATACTCTTATGATCTAAACCATATTATCATTCTATATTTCAGAAACATGAAGAAGCCAAGCAACTTGCCCAAGATCACCTCAGAAGAATGCATTACTTCTGGGATCCCTGGGACCCTTTTAAATTCTCATCAAAACATTTAACTAAAATGTTGATTGCTTTATTTCATCAGAAATGGGCTCCTATTCAAGGTTTATCCTACCTGGCACCCTCTTCTCTTATGTGATCTGCCTGACTCTGGCAGACACATGATGCTTCTCATGTTTAAGAGAAAGGGAGAGCTTATTGTGCTAAGGATACCTTCTCTGTTCATGGCCTAGTGGGCACCTGTTTAAGATTAAAGCATTCTGACTCATTGCCCTTAAGAGATATGGAGAACAGGTATTATCCATAAAAAAATTCATTTTCCTCTCTTAAGGTCTAGTTTATGGTTTTTTTTAATGTTATTAAATCTTTTGCTGTATTCCTCATTCTCTAAAAAGAACCTGCACTGAGAGAGACAGTCATTTGCCCCTCTGCCATAGGTATCTCAACTAAGTATGGAAAATACTGCAATACTATGTTATAATTAACTATGAATTTTTACTATAACTCCTTTTGGGAAATATTTTTGCCCTAGTCTGTTTATGATTCAAAGCATTGAAATTAATGTTTAATGCACAACAGTTACTCCAAAATAATTTACTCAATGATGATTATATTTTGTACAGACCCAGAACCCTCTTTTATTTCCAGCCTCCTTATCTCTGATTAAATAGGTTCTAGCTTCCCTTCATCCATATTGCATGTCTGTCTGAGTCCCCACTGCTGTATCCCCATAGTCCAAGCATGGAAAATCTTGGCTGGGGACCAGTCTAAGTCAGTCCCCTACTTCCTACCCTCTCTGCCTGTACAGGCTTCTCCACCAGCATCTGGCCTAAGCAGGACAATGCTGAATCATGCTGAGTCATGCTGAGGCTTAGGGTGTATGGCCAGATGTTTTCAGCCTTGGGTGATGGCGGCTATCTATCTCCCCAGCAGGAAGCTTACAGGACAGATGGCAAAAAAAAAAAAAAAAAAAGAGAAGTTGACCGCCTGACTAAAACTCTTCCTCAGTCATCATTATGAAGAGAAAAAGACCCTTGAGACATAATGTAATATATCCTAGAATATATAATTTCCTAATTAAAAAGTTATTTCTGATTGTCCTTCTTAGATGCCATAGCATGATTAATCAGTGAGAATCAAATATTCTTCTTGCATGCTTCCTCTCATACCTAGAAGCAGCAAAATCATGCATTGGCATGATATATGTGTATTTGTGTTTGTGTGTGTATATATATATATTATAAAATAAAATATAGAGTAATTAATGAAATGTAATGAAATGTTCTCTGAATAATTTGAAACATAGGACCTATGCTAGTGATTTCTTTGACATACCTCTTTTACTCTATAGTCCAGAACAGAACCTTAGTTTCTTCTTCTACATAAAGATGTGGCAGAGCTAGAAGGCTAAAGGATTTTCTCAGTTCTCCCTATTCTAGGACTCCATATATTGAACCCCTACTTTGCATAGAACTCTGGATACATGGACTGACTCAAGAGGATGGAAGAAGAAGATGTAAAAGGAGGGAAAGGAGAACAGTGTTCACCAGTGTCCAAAGACAGGGACTGACAAAGGGTCTGTGGTCTTGGAAGGTGTGTGCTCACATGCTAGTTCAGCCTGGAGAGGGGAGACCACCAGGGAGCACAGATTTAAGGACATACTTCAGCTCAGTCTTTGTGCTACCACTTTATTGGAAAAATGTAGGAAAACTGTAAGTCTGATAAGGGAAAAAAAACATTTCTGCAGGAAGGTGAACTGTCTTCATATGTGAGGGTAACTGTCAAGGATTACACAGGGATAAAGTCCATGACAGGAAGAGATATTGCCTAGGGTTGGGGGTGAGTGGGTGGAGGAGGTTAAAGGATCAGAGAAAGCCTGTAAGAGAAAGACTGAAGTTATTCTCTGTAAGAGTTCATGGTTACTAAGATATGTTTCAGAAATTTCAGATAATTTGAGGACCTACACAACAGGGAAAAGTTTGAAAAGAGAGGTAGATAAATGAGTTAAACTGACTCATGAATGATATTTTTTCAAATGAATGCTAGGAATCACTCACTGCACTAAGTTTCTAGATGTCAGAAGCTGTGAGGGTGTTAGATGCCCAAGACCTACTACAAGCCTTGATACAGACTTGGCATGGTTTCCATAGTCACTGGATTTCTTTCCAGTATGTGAGCCTCTGACAGGATCACAGAGAGAAGATTTAGTGATGCTATATTAAAACTTTCTTCTTCAAGTACATGTTATGATGGGAATAGAAGCAAGCTGAATGATACATGTTTGAAACAGATGCAGCCATTAAGGAAAAAAAAACATACTGGAAGAATATTTGTAAAGAAACTAGAATACAGAGAATGAGTTAAGTGTGTAGCAACTGTGAAACAGAGGGAAATATGCAGCCATTGAAATTACAAATTAATAGGAAAAAAAAAGAGGTAGAGAAAAAATTCTATGAATTGGTCTAGAAAGAATATCATACTTAGATAGGGAAAGTGCTTAAAGAGTTACAAACTTCAAAGTTGTGACTAAACAACTGAAGAATTATTCATTATTTCATGGTACAAGTAGCAAATACAGCTTGATGGACTCACGACTGGTTTAGAACTCTTCTTGTTGCCAATATGATGCTAGTCTCAATAATTTTTGACAAAGAGGCTACGCATTCTCACTTTGCATTGGACCTGGAAATTATGTGGCTGATTCTGAGTAAAAGGTGTTTATTTATTTCTAGAACATAGATATTAGCCCAAGGCCTAGGGTATAACAAGTATTCAAATGCTTGTTGAATTAAATTCTCTCCTTGTTCTCTTCTACACACAGAGAACTAACTCATTAGGGATGCAGGGACACCCTTAGGGAAGCAAGTGGTGTTTGGGAGTGTGATTAGGCATTCTGAGGAAGAAGTGTGGGGTGCCTAGCCCTCCTTTCTCTAGTTCCAAGGCCACAGTCTCAATCACAAAGTCTCTTACTGTACAGCATGCTTTCTGTCTGATTATTCTCCGACTTGGTCCACAGTTTCTCCTCCTCAAAGAAAATGTAAACTTCCTCCTGCTAGAAGTCCATGCCTTGTAACCCATCAGTCAGCATCCAAGAGGTACTGGTGGATATCACTTTGCCTGAAGGTATGATATGTTGAAAAGTTCCAAAGATGATTTCTTATTTTCCTACCTACTTACCCACCCTCCTCACTTCAAAGCTAGTTCTGAGGAAGTGAGTGTGATGAACAAAGTCATTGATAAAACTTAACATAAAGACTCTGATGGTCCAGCTTCAAAGTCCTCATACTCACACCCAGAAATTAGCATTCATTAGAGTAAGCATGAACACACACACACACACACACACATACCACAATCCCATATCCAATCTGTCAGAAAGTCCTGGGGGCTTATGTTAAACATTATCCCTTGCTATCAACCCCATTGCTGCCACCCTGGTCTAAACCACTATTATCACCACCTAAATTTTAGCTATAGACACCTAACTGTTTGTTGGCTCTGCTCTTACCACTGCCCCCACACAGTTTCTCCCCAATGCAGAAGCCAAAGCAATCTTTTAAAAACTGTAAGTCATATATGATCACCTCTTGATTCAAAACCTTTTGATACTTTTCTGTATCAATCATAATAAAGCAAAATCTTCACAATTTTCTACAGCAATAATAATTGTCAATGGTTATACTGTGTTTATTATAAATCAAATACTCTGTGTATATATGCATACTTATATATGGCATATATGCACACAGATATATACACACATGTGTATTCTATGTGTGTGTTTATGTATCTGCATGTATAAGTTTTTTCTTACGTTTATATAAGTATCATTTATGTCCCACCTTTTATGGTTTAGAATCTCTACAACTGTATTTTCTTCTACATTCCTCTTCACTTAATCTGTCCCTATCTTGGCCTTTATGCATTCTAAGCATCCTCTCATTTTCTGATATTTAGAAGTGCCACATGAATAGGTTCCTCATCACCTTTCATATCTGCTTAAGTGCTGCCTTCTAGTGAGGAAGTCCCTGCCACAGTATTTTAAGGAGTAATAATCCTTTACCCAAATTACATTCTATCCTTCATTTTAGTTCCTCTTTTTTTCTTCATAACATTTAACATCATTGGTATATACTACATACTTTACTTGCATACTTACCAGTTCCTAACTTTCCCCCCATTGATCAGGGCTTTTGTTTAGATACTGTTTTTGTGTTGTGTACTTGGCACTTTTATAGTTGAATGAATAAATGAACGATATATGGAAGTGAAAAGATATATGGACCTAGCAGCTACCCAATATGTACAAAGAAATCAGTGAGGAATGCTGGGAAGGTAAGGCTGTTAGAGCTGGGGAGGCCTCTGCAGACAGTACCTCCAGGGGTTGCTATGTTCCAGGATTGCGCTCATTTGTTTTGTATTCTGAGATTTGCTCTTAATAGCTTATTCTGGCTAAAATGAAAGACACAAAAGACTAATATAGAAGCCAAGGTATTTATGAGGTATTTATGTATTTACATTGATATTTATAACTGAAATATTCCTACATGAGCAATAAGGCCTTTCCTTTTGTTAAGTAAAGGTAGAAGAAACAAACTATGCCAAGCAGATAGCCTGAAGCAGCCATGCCACTAAAGTAAGTACCACACCAAGCATCAGATACAACTACTCACTTAGCCTTCCCGGGAAGGACAGTCCTGGCCTGGACCTCAATGCTAAGTGAAGTTCAAAACATCTCTAACTACAAACCAACAGAGCAATTTTCAATTTCTATGCTATCCTATTTTGCCAAATATCTCTAATGATATTTTGCTTTATACCTCAGAATATTTCATAAGACTGCAGTTGCGAGTTTCTGGTCTGGAAGTCATTCTATCTTCTTCAGACGATTTTGAGCTTCTCTTTTGATCAGTCTTTTTTTTTTTTTTTTTAAATCTCAGTTGAATTTGGAGAATACGATTTTTTCCCCGGCTTTCCTGGCATTATATAGTCACTGTATTTTTCACATTTTTATAATGGTCATGTAATTATGACCACACACATAAACATACACATACATACCTATGTATCTATAACACAGAACACATTTGTCAGGTGTTTCTGAACCACACCAGATCCACAGACACTAGCTCACATTTCTTCCTTTATCTACTGAGGGAATAAAAAATGGGAGTATGGAAGGCAGTAGAGGGAACATTCTGACTCTGTCTTTAGCTGAACTCCTCCCATGCCACAGCTCTGTGTAGTCCTGATCCCTTATCTCCACCCACAGTCTCTGACCCC